CAACTACAAAGGCATGAATTTTGCTGCTTGAGGTTTGATAACTACACTTCTTTGGGAATCCCCTGTGCTTCTCATGATACCTGCCTGAGGGTCACACAGTTTGCTAACAGAAACCTACTTTTCACCATTGATTTTAAACCGGTTTATATGTCCGCTGTATAGCATATGCGCTTTCAACAAGCGTCCCCTTGCGGCGGTACTAGGCTATATATCCATACGTATCTAATTAAGATTTTCGGCTCCCTTCGACGCGTAAATAGCCGGTTTACATGAAATACGGTGTTCAATGCACTGCAGACTTATGCGCTTTTACGAGTAAGTCAGATCCTCTGCAGTGTTCACTGCAGTACGAAGAGACAGACTTCCGTCGCTGATATGTTCGGGCAATATATACATCGTGGCCATTTAAGGTAGGCCTGTAATAAAAATATTTATAAAATAATTTCTGAATTAAATAAACAGGTCTCGTATGAATCTCATATGAATGCTTTATGTTTCCAAAACAGCTTAAATCATTTTTGTATGGGCTTATGGACTCTAATGTCCTATGTTATCTAAAATAGGCAACCAACTACAGTACATGTAGTTCATTTATATTATGGGCATTTATGCCAGAAAATGATAAATATATTTATAGTTCAGAGATATCAAATTAGTTATATCCCTTATGGAACTCCGTACCGTATCTAAGCGCATGAAACCTTATCAACCACTAGGCGGTGCTGTAGTATTAGAATACTTTTCAAGTTCAAATTGTTCATTGAAAACGTCGACTGAAAATGTGAAACGCACAATATATTTACCAAAATAAGACTGAAAACAAAGATCTCACAGTTCTTTTTAGTCATGTACATTTATTTTAAAAAGTTGTTCTCAAATTGTTTATTTTTCTTGCAGTTTTTTTTCTTATTCTGCAGACTCCAGTCCAATATGTTAAAAAATCGCAAAATCTTTCAAATTTAAAATTTTTTTTTTTAAATACGCAGATCAATAACAGATCAAAATGTCCTTAATCAATGTAGAAGCAATGTATAAGACTGAAAACAAACTAATATCTCACAGTTCTTATTTATTCCTTTTTATACATATACATTTACAACAAAAAAAACCGTTTTCAAACTATTTTTTTTTCTTGCAGTTTTTTTTCTTATTTTAAAGAAAATTTTATTTTAAATGAAAAAACAATATCGAAGCAAAACTGAGATTATGGCTATTGCACCCTCTGGAGTTAACATTAATAATTGATTTTATGCCAAGACGTCTGTCACAATCCGAACACTGGTGCCCACCCAACACACCAAAATGCGCACCCCAGGATGCAAGGGCGTAGGTTTGGTTTCAACATTGGTAGGGCCCAAATCAGCCCTGAACCCCCCATGTCCCCATACTGCCCATATCCAAACCTACACCCCTGCCTGGATAGCATTCTGGTAACACCGCTTACACCAACAGTGTGTGTCATTCACCAAAATCCTTACTGAGAACCCTGTCAATATGCACAATTTGTATATTTACTGTGTGAAACTGAACAAACACTGTACTGGCTAGGCAGAAATCATGCCTCCTTTCAGCGCTGGCTGGATATTTTCTCACATTCAGTTGATGGTTACAGTGAGTCATTCTGGTTCAATACCAGCATTCTGGTAAAGTAATACCTGATAAACAAGTGACATATTGCAGAAGAAAATGAAATGCCTTGACAATATACTGCAGTTATAACATTTTGAGACCTAATATTGCTTCTTCCAGGTTCAATTAACAATCTTGTTAATCTTTTTTCCCTTTAATGTATTTTGCATAATCTGTTGTCATTGTCTTTGGCTAAATAAGCAGCTCCCAAATCCCACGGGTTGGGACTGAGCTGTCAGGACGGTCACACACAGGATTACTGGAGTGGACAAAATAATGGAAACTCCACATGAAATATGGATTTGAGTGTAAAGTCACAGAATCACATTTTACAAATGCAGCAACAGAGGTCATGTTAGGAACATGAGACAACCAAGTGTCCCAAAGAGGTCGAGAAGTCGAGTCTCAAAGTGCAGGTGCATCAGTTGCAAAGTCAGAAAAAGTATTTCATGTCATTGAAGGAACAGAATTTACCAAACTGATAAACTGCATCTGCAAAGAGGAACAGTCATCTCAAGTCAAAGCCCACTGACAGGGACAAACAGACACCTAACAGCATAAATGCTAAGCTGCACAAAAGTACAGACCTAAATCAAAACCTCTGTGGGCCAGCTTCAACATTAACTTTTTGTTGTGAGTAGGCTTGGTTGGTATTAAGGTAATACCGTATACTGGGATATTTTGGGTATACTGCAGTGTTTTAAAATCTTGCTGATAAAATTTGAGGAGGGGTTGGGGGGGGGATTGCAAAATGCCGGATATGACATAGATACCGTCCTGGCCTAGCAGCAGCTGAGAGGTTCTCAAAACTGGAATTTCATGGTTGGGTTTCCGATCTGTATCCGAGGCTGATGCACAAAGATGTATAAGCTGGCGTAAGGAGTTGAAAACCCGGGACTCTGAGCAATGGAAAAGTACCATGATCTGGTTAGATACCTTTCACCCTCTTATCTACATTTGGACAGGTTTACATTTGAAGAAAGTCAGTGGATGCCTTCAATCTGCACTGTGTGCTTCCAGCTAGGGACTCTCTGTCATATTCGTCACTGAAAAGTCTCATCTACCCCTCATTCCCCACAAGAATTATAAATAGTTGTGCTTGTACATGTATTTGTATTTTGCAGTAATTGGATCAGATTCCTCAGTCCCGTGCTGGGAAACTTTGTTTGTTTTGCTAGTGAAATGATCACTATGTTTACTTGGTTTTCTGTTTTGCCTACTCAGTCCGGTCCAAACCCACTCTTATTTCTCCCGAAAAGGAGAAATTTGTAAATGAACGTCTGTAACCCAAACTTTTCTAACCATTCCAGCTGGCTTGGTTACCAAATGCAGAATATGACCTTCCACACATTGATGTTAATTTTCTAACTTGAATTGCCAAGGACTGCAAAATGAGGGGGCACTCCTTCCTGAATAGTAATACATACATCTGTCCGCGTGAGGTACAGCCCACTGTATTTGTGGATTATTTATAAATCTGTTTTCTGTAATGTGATGATGTCACGTGATTTCTTCTGCCTATGATAACTTTTATTTTGATGTTTTCTCTTTGCCTTTCATAAGATTGACCTTTGGCTTCATTCGCTGGGTAGTTTGTAAAATGTGCCCGGCCTCTTTAGGCACATTGTCTGGTTCAGCTGGAGATCCTCCCAGTTTGGGTCAGAAGATTATTTGTGTGAATACTCAGCAAGCAGAGCCCAGCAGGACTCTGTGGGCATCTCCAGCCAGGAAGGTGGGGGTGGGGCTTTGGACGCAGGCATCCTTAGCAAATGTCCTTGTGATCCGAAACAATTGCTGCATTTACTTTCACAGGCAAAACAGCATGCCAACTGGTGAGTTAAGCACCGAGTCACAAAAGACCTTCCTTCTTCTGGGAATCCAGTCATGGCTGAAGGCTTTCCATCACAATAGAAAGCAAAGGGCCTTATTACTTAAAAAAATGATTGCTATTATAACATTTTTAATTTTAATATTATATTTTGATAAGGAAGGGTAGTACAGTGACTCATCCAGTAGCAGTATAGCCTAACTCATCCAGGGGGGAGGTGTCAAGTCAAATCCTGTCCCTGGCTGTGTGTGTCTGCAGTTTCTTTTGGTTTCCCAAAAATATTAACTTAGGTGAACTAAATGCTCTTCAGCAACAAGAAGAGTTCAGCATCAAAGCTTATTTGCTGAACCTTTAACAGTTTTATCAGGTAAATGTATGACAGGGGTTTTGCTAATAAAGTATGGCTTTAAACATGTTTAAGCTAAAAAGCAACCAGACAGGGAACAAGCTGCACTATTGCTTCACACCTCCAGGACTGCCATTTGAATCTCACCCCACTGTGTGTGTGTGTGTATGTGTGTGTGGATTAGGTATATATAACATTGTAGGGACCAAATGTCCCCCACAATGTAATAAAAACCAGTTTTTTTTTTTGACGTGGGGACCACAAAGATCTGTGAATGCAATCAAAAAAGTAAAAATGCCAAAAGTCTTGTATTTTGTTTGGCTACATATGGTTAGGGTTAGGGTTGGGTAGGGGTTAAGGTCATCATGTTGTGATTAGAGTTTTCCCCATAGAAATGAATGGAGTCCCCACAAAGATATAATTACAAACCTGTGTGTTTGTGTGTGTGTACACATGTTTGGAGTTTGCACATTCTCCCTGCAATTCTCCTCCTATTCTGGTTTCGTCCTGAAGTCATGCTGGTAGATGCAGAAAAACGTGCAGTTAGATCAGTTGGCATCTTCAATTCTCCCCTTCCATGTGATTGCGTGTGTGAGTGTGTGGACTGACATCCCATCCATGAGGTACCCAGGAATTCCTCTCACCATCCTGTACCAGATAAGCAGTCAAAAGGTGGATCGAAGGATGGATATGAAAGTTAGATATAAAAGCCTGTCATATAACCCTTGTGACAGTGCGTGTCCTCATGTCCGATCTCCCCAGGACAGACTTCCAAGCTTCAGGAACATGAAGAATTTATTTGTTGAAGAACTTTATCAGGTTAATGTATCACAGGTATTTCAATAATTAAATATGACTTTGAACACGTTAGGGAACAACCTGCTACACACAGTAAGATTTGGCAACATTCCCTTAGTGTTAATACTGCAGTGGTTATTTCTGTAGCTGCCTTCATCTAATGTAATTTCTTATCAATGAGGGTCAAGAAAATGACTTCCTAGGTTGAGACCAGGATAAGGGCCTGATGCTGAAAACAGCAGAGAAACGCAGCAGCTGGTGTGGAGGAGGGGAAACAGATCCCAGGGGCTGTTGACCTTTTAGCACGTCGGCTAACGTAGTGAAATATTCAGTTCTGTAGATATGTAAACGTTAATAATGAATAATTACACTTATTAAAGAAACCAGCCCTGTTGATGATTTGTTTGTTTGTTTTATTTGGAAAATGTACAAATGCAGATAGTTTGACACCTTAAATAAAAAAAAGATAATGTCCTTGACATATTAAGCCAGGCACCAACCAAGTTCTTGGAATGTCCAGGAAATCTAACATCTACTGTTCGGCGGTGGTGGAATTCTACTGTGTGTTGCAACCCTTTCGTTTTACCGGCAGCCTGATATGTGATGTACAACAGGGAAGTGTGTGTGTCTGTTTGTATGTATGTATGTGTGTATGTGTTTGTGTCTGTGTGTATCTGTGTGTGTGTCTGTGTGTGTGTGTGGAGTTTGCACATTCTCCCTGCTATTCTCTGTGTGTTCTGGTTTTGTCCTGAATTCATGCGGGTAGATGCAGAAAGATACACAGTTAGATCAGTACATCAGAGGAGACATGGATGGATGGATGGATGGATGAATGTAAAAGTTAGGTATAAAATCCTGATGTATAAACCTTGACATTGATCTGTGTAAGTGAAACAACACTGGTGGTATCCAATGGCTTCCTACACAGGTGTTATTGTGTGTGACATGAATACCATTTATAGCTGCATCGAAGGAAACATTGTGACATAGAGAGAACAATTTAAAATAAATCAAATTACTAACAGCTGACTATCTGAAATCATGTGTGTGTGTGTGTGTGTGTGTGTCTGTACATACATACATATATACAGTACATACATACACTTTATTTAGCAGAAGTGATTACAAACAAGTCGCTTAAATCAAACAAATATCAGAGTAAAGATGAAAACTGAAATCAGACTACTTTTAACATAAAATACATTAAATATGCCTTTATGTGTGTTACAGTGGCATTTCTGGGCAAAAGTGACACCAAAGTTAAGTCTCATTTTGCAAGTTCTGATGTTTTGGAGCATTCATTCTTTGTTCCTGAATAGAAATTTTTTTGTTCACATATTCCACCATGCTATTCAGCAGGACATCACTATGCAAGATACTTTTTGGAATGTTCTGAATGGTTGACCCCTGTGGGAACAACAATAGTTGTACTTCAACATTGACACAACAAACGTACAAAATGGTGTTGTTCAATTCAAGACCGGCACTTGAAATACAGTATGCACATTTGACTATGGAAGCACCCTTATCATGTACTGATAGGTAAGCTAAAAACTATAGGCAAGTATGGTGACTTTACCAGGAGTTGATGGGAGACGCTGCCATATGTTTGGTCTCCTGCTGTCACGTACTGCAGGGATGTTCTTACAAAGTCTTCTGCTGTAAATGTGATGATGTTGGGGTCCTGATAACCTGTCATTGACGTGGATATTCCAAAGGGGGTCACTGCCTGTGTGTGGAAAAAAAAACAAATATTATGATTGGTATGATTATGCAGCAGACAGACAAATATAGAAAAAGCAATGGACCAAGGACAGGTACCTGCAGGATTCCATGCATCAGCTTTTTTTAGAGTCACCTAAAGCAGCAAAGGAATCTCTAACATTTAGTTACAATTAAAAGTATTGTGGTCCCATACAGTCATACACAGATCTACAATAATACTGAATCATGAAACATAGCCTTTGTCATAAAAGAGAATGATTTCAAACAGCATTTGGAGTCTGTCAAGAACTCTGGAACAAGCCATAGGTAGATCATCTATGAAAGGAATATAAGTTTCATTTGATTTGTCCAAACTGGCCAAGGCGGAACTCCATGTTCATACCCATAGAGACGCTCTTTCATGTCAAGTTCATATGTAGTTTTTGCATTAAATGGTAAGATTGGTGTTTATGATTATACGTTTCTAATGAAAATATTAGATTTGCCTTGATATATTTGTATATCCCTTATTTTATAGTTTACAGGATTGTTTCATCACTCCAGACCATTTTTCCCCTTCATTTAAAATTTAATTATTAAAATACAGCAAACATTCTAGCAAACTGTGCTCTAGTGAAGTGGGTCTTCTCCTGGTTTCCATTTGCATTTATAAAAATTTTTAAGGCACTTTTACCCAAAGTAAAATATAACAGAGAAGGCAGGATCAGCCGGTCCCTGGAGCGATTGGAGCCCAACGGTGACATCACCCTACCAACCCCTAGACTGATCATAGGTACAGCACCCTACCAACCCCTAGACTGGTCATAGGTACAGCACCCTACCAACCCCTAGACTGATCATAGGTACAGCACCCTACCAACCCCTAGACTGGTCATAGGTACAGCACCCTACCAACCCCTAGACTGATCATAGGTACAGCACCCTACC